CACGATGATGGCGTAGACCGGCATGGACGTGAAGAAGCGCCGCCAGGGTGTGTTAAACTTCTGTCGGGGCGAGGGGAGGGGCCGCTTAGACGGAGACCCGGGCTGGAGGCGTCTGGGTCCCTTCAGGGGCCCCGCTATAGTCCCACAGGGACCAAGGGATCCCGACTTCACTGGACCCGGGCCACACCACGTTCCCGTGGGGACATCGCCAGCCTCATGGCGATGGGATACCAGGGATGAGGGGGTCCTGGCCCTAGGCAGCCCCTCAGGTTCGCAGGTGTCCGGGCCCTACGATCACCCTCAGGGACTTATGAATGTGGCCCAGCAGTCTCTATTCAACCCCCCTCCCCCAAATCTAGCCTCACACACCCCAGGGTGTAAACTAAACCCCCGCATTCTAATCCAGCCTCTGGGGGCTTTAGCCACGCCCCATCAGTGGTTCGGATCCCGCTTCCCTCGAGACCTCACCCCGCCCCAGCGCCGGCTAAGCCCTCCCCGCCTGGATAGTGACCCGCCCGCCCCCTAGGTTCTAGCCCCCCTCTCCGCGTCCCAGTCCCGCCTCCTCTGAGTCTCCCCACAGGAGCCGGCCACGATCTGCACGCTGTGCAGGTTCGAACCCGGATAGCCCACCCTGCCCCACCCCCCGGACTGGGGCCCGGACCGTGACGGGGTTCATGAGTTTGGCACTCTCGCCGATGGCGTCCTCGATGTACTTGCGCTCCTCCTCCGAGATGCTGGGGTGCAGCGCCGGGGACTCGTAGGAGACCAGCAGCCAGAACAGGTACCAGAAGATCCCGAAGCTGCCTGGGGAGGGGGGTCGGGAGGCGGATGGGAGCGGGGTGACGACCGGCCCCGCTCCGCCCCAGCGCCACCCGGAACCAGGCGTCCGGGCCGCTCACCGTAGACGTAGAAAACTGAGCTCCATCCCGAGTACTGCACCAGGACCCCGGCGAGGGGCATCGCGACCACCGCCCCAGCATAGGAACCTGAGGGGGACGACGCGGGATAGAGAACAGGCCCCTCTGTCCCCAGATCCAGGAGTGCGGGCGCCCAGCCCAGGTCTCTCGGGGACCCAGAAGTACAGGCCGCAGCCCCTCCCCCTTCAGACGCTGGAGTCAGGATCCCCCCAGCCCCTCCCTCTCACCGCAAAAGGCTGTCGTCGCCAGGCGACTCCGTTCCAAAGGTGGGGCCCATTTGCTCCAGATCCCGTGGCAGGCGGGGTATGTGACCCCCTAAGGAGGAGAAAACCAAGGTCACCGAGCAGAGGCGGGATCAGAGCGGAAGCGGGGTCACATAGGGCGGGGCTTTACCTCTACCAACCCCTGCAGGATCCTCACGAAGATGACACAGCCATAGTGGATGCGAGCAGCCGAGGGGATCAGCATGTTTAAAGTGGATGTAGCCACAATAGCAAACCCGAAAACCCTGGTGGGAACGGTGGGCGGAGAAAAGGGTCCGGCTATCCCGCCATGCCTAGGATTCTGCCCTTCCCGCCCACAGCAGGCCAGGCCTGTGTTCCCCAGAACCCCCTGTGACTTTCGCGTTCCACAATCGCAAGCCCCGCCTCTCTCTAAGACCCTCCCCCAAGCCCAGGCTCCTCCCATTTGCCCCGGAGTCAGCCCCCAAATTCACATCGTCTAACTCACGCACACAAGTGCAGTCACCGCACACCTTGAGACCCCACCACTGTACCTGTTGGCTGCGAATTTTTGGCAGATGAATCCTCCAGGAATCTGAGTGACTATGTAGCCCCAGAAAAAGGAGCCGTGTATGAGGCCGACAGTCTCTGGATCCCAGGTGAACTGGGCTTTCTGCGGGCCAAAAGGCACGTCAAACCAGGCGCCCTGTCCCAGGCTCTGCCTCTCCACCAATCAGCACCCACAGGCTTAGCCCGTCGGCCAATCAGCAACAAGGAACCCCTCCTCCCCCGAAACAGCTGCCAATCAGAGCCCACACCATCCTTCTGGCAATCCAACACTGCTCTTCCACGTTGCTAGGACCAGCACTACCTTAACAACGACGCCATAGCTGCCTAGAAGCCTCGCTTTGCCTACTTCCTCGCCCCAGTGAATGTCTAGGGGCCATGTGTGAGGATGGCTCCAGTTCCATCCAACTTTACGAACTGTGACTGAGTGACCTGATGCAGCCAAAGGGGCGGGCCAGATTGGAAGAGAGAAAGGAGAGGTGCTTCGAGTAGGCCACAGCCCAAATCCGGCTATTTTTCTGATGCAGGGACACAGCTTATACTAAAATTAAAATGGGGGGAAAGTCTGAGAAGCAGTGAGGTGGTAGGTAATGGGCAGAGCACACGGAGCAGGACATAGACAGTGGCAGAGCTTCAGAGGAAATAGGATCAAAACTCAAGGAGGGCTGGGCACGGTGGCTCACGCCTGTGATCCCAGCACTTTGGGAGGCCAAGGCGGGAGGATCGCTTGGTCTCAGGAGTTCGATACCAGCCGGAGCAACATAGCGAGACCTCGTCTCTACTAAAAATAAAAATTTAGCCGAGCATGGTGGCACGCACTTGTAGTCCCAGCTCGGGAGGCTGAGGCAGGAGGATCACTTGAACCCAAGACTTGGAGGCTGAGTTGAGCCATGATCGTGCCACTGCACTCCAACCTGGGCGACAGAGACCCAGACTCAAAAAAAAAAAAAAATCAGGGAGGAACCAGAGATGGAACTGGCATTAAATAGATGTGATCCAGGGACGTGAGCGTGGGGACACACGCGTAAGCCAAATTGCTAGTAGGTCCAAAATGGAACAGGGGCGACGCATAGGGAACCTAATGCCGGGGCGTGTCTACGTTTCGCGATCAGGGACCGGAGATGGGGCGGGGCTTTGTTAGACCAGGGCGGGGCTTAGGGAGCGGAGAGCCCTGAGGCAAGCCCAGAACCTCCAGGAGGTGGAGATGGGCGGGGCTGCTCCGTCAGCGTTCGGAAGGGGCGGGGCCTGGGCAACTGTATGGGGCTGTGACGTCAATGACGAAGGCGTGGCTAGCAGGGCGGGGGCGCCACCGCTCGGCTCCAAGCTACCTGCACTTCCACGTGGCCCCCGCGGTGGGTCGTGCTGTTGTTGACCATGGAGACGATGGCCACGCCCAGGTTGCAGCGGATGCCAAAGCTGATGCAGAAGCCCAGACCACTCATGATGGCGATAATGTACCGGCGAGGGAGGCCGAAGCAGGTGCAGTCCACAACCGGCGGGTCCCGGGTCTGCGTCGTCACGGGGCGCCCGTCAGCACTTAGCTCTAGCGTCTCCGCACCTTCCTGCCGCTTCTCCAGCAGGCTGAGGGACAGCAAGGGCCAAAGACTCAGAAGTCCAGGCCCCCAGCCCCCTCCTCCCCATGACACCGGCGTCCAGGGCAAAACCTGCTTTTCGACACCCAGAATTCTGAATCTGCACCCACTCCTTCTTCCCCAGGAGATCAGGCCCCTGGCTCCCTCCACCCGCCAGGATTCAGAAATCTGAGCCTCATCTCCACCTCCCTCAGACCAGGAATTCAGGCCCCAGACCCCGACCCCACCTCAGACTCAGGTGTCAGCGTCTTCAGTCCCTTTCTCCCCAGCCCTGCCATCTCTCCCAACTCGAGTTTTCGACCCCAGACAACCCTTTGGGATCCAAAAGCCTGTGTCCCCAACCCTCCCCGCCCCAAGGCCCCAAGACTCTCCAGCCCCCTCTCCCAGATATGAGTCTATTTGGGGAAGCAAAGGTGCTAAGGAGATGCTTCAGCAAAGGTGTCAAAAGAACAGATGCTCCTCAGCCCTTTTGCTATATATACCGACTCCCCTCCCGCCCTGCCCTGTGGCATGCCCCTCCCTACTTCCAGGCCCCAGGTGTGGGGCCCACATCCAGCGGACTCCATCGCAGCCCACGTCCATGGCTGCGGGGGTGGGGAGATGTCCTGGACCCTGGCGATCCATCAGTCCAGCCCCAGCAGCCCTGGGGAACCTTGAGTTCAGGCTGTCAGCCTATGGGGTAGGGAGGGGGAGTGGCGGGTGGTGTCCTGGCAGGGGACAGATGGCCCTGGTAGGGGGATTGGCTCATTCCCCAGCGTGGCTCTCGCCCCCGCCCTTTCTGGATCCAGAATGGAGTCTGTGATGATGGATAAGGTACTTGGAGGGCCGCCTCAAGCCGAGAGAGAGGCTGCAGAGAGAGAGGTGCCTTGAGACAGGTGGGGAAAGACCCAAAAGGAGGGTGACAGGATGGGGGAGCTGCACAGAGGCCCAGAGAAAAGGTTAGAGATGCAGAGCAAGGGAGAGGGAGCCAGAGAAAGAGGGACCGAGATTCAGAGGAAGAGACAGAGACCCCGGGAGACCGGGAGAGAATAACAGGGGACAGAGACCCAGAGAGAGGAGGACAGAGGCCCAGAGAGAGGGGGATAAAGACCCAGAGAAGAGGAGACGGAGACCCAGAAAGGGAGGACAGAGACCCAGGGGAGGGGGATGGAGACGGGGGAGGAGAGGCGGACAGAGATCCAGAGAGGAGGGCAGAAGACTGAAACCCAGAGGAGGCAGACAGAGACCCTGGGATAGAAACCCCGGCGAGAGGACACAGATGCAGAGAGAGGAAAACAGAGACCTAGAATGTGAGAGAAAGATAGAAAGACTGGGAGACAGAGGAGAGATAGGCTGGGGACGTGATTTGCGAGGTGCGGGCCCTCTCTCAGGCGGGTAGGCAGCCAGGGGATCGGGCTGGATCCCAGGAAGGGGCTAGAACAGATGGAGGCGAGGGAGACTGGGACGGGGGAGGAAAGAACAGCCAGACGGTCTGGGGGGAGGGAGGTGGAAGAGATGAGAGAGAACACAGCAACCCCTCCCCGTCCTAGAACTTAAGGAAGTGGGGAGGATCCGTTAAGAAATCAGGGTGGAGGAGGGAGTGAGGGGAGTGGACAGAACCCAGGGTGGGGGGAGGAATGAGACCCTAAGAGTGGGCAACAGAGCCTGAGAGAGGAGCCACCAGAATGAACAGTGAAGGGTGAAAGGCAGGGACTCGCCCCCATCCGAACATGCCAGCCAATGAGATTAGACTTTGACCCAGGGTGGTGTCAGATGGTATTTGGCCCTGAAACTCAAGATGTGATTGCAGCCCCTGAAATCCGATATTCATTGTTAATGTCATGAGACGGAAGATCTCTAATCAAGACCTTCTAAATTCGGGGTCTCAGTATTCCACATCTATAAAATGGGGGAAGAGCAGAAAAGCAAGATACGAAGAGGAAACTTCAAGGTGCCAGAAAGCATTTTAGGACAAGAGGACCAAGGATGCAGAGATGAAGGTGGCCCCGATGCTTTGCAGAGGACAAGAACAGACGCAAGTCACGATGGCTCATGCCTGTAATCCCAGCACTTTGGGAGGCTGAGGCGAGAGGATTGCCTGAGTCCACGGGTTCGAGACCAGCCTGGGAAACTTGGCAAGACCTCATCTCCACAGTAAATCAAAAAGTTAGCCAGGCATGTGGCACACTTCTGCAGTTCCAGGTACTTGGAAGGCTGAGGTGGAAGAATCACCTGAGCCCAGCAGGTGGAGGCTGTGGTGGCCATGAGCATGTCACTGCAGTCCAGTCTAGGCAACAGAGAGACTTCAACTCAAAAAAAAAAAAAAGACCTGGACAACATAGTGAGACCTCATCTCTTTTTTTTTTTTTTTTTTTT